GCTCTCTTCCGCAGCGTATTCGTTATCATCACTTTTTTTCGTTGACGTTTTGCCACTGCTATTTCGAGATTACACCATCAAAGAACATTTTATAAACGAAATTACTTTATGGGATGCTACGTCAAAGTGAGTACGAGTCAATTCGGCTTTATCTTCCGCACTTCATATCGAGATTGTTACGATCATTTAGTAATAGAGTCTTTCTGTTTTACTTATCAACGGTTCCCATCTTATACCTATAACCGCCGTATTTCCGTACAAAGCAATACACTTTTTTTGCACCTTGCCATCTCTTCAGACCATTGTGCATGTAGGCTCTCTACAGGTTTAATACAAGGAGAGCATATCATTTTTGAAAAGTAAACTGCACATATCCCCAAGTGTACCCCTTTATAACTCTCTCTTTTTCTTGATTTTGTGAAGGTTCTCTGGAACCAATCCTATCTGTCATAGTTTATAGTGAACTCGGGTGTATATGGGTAAATATAAGTGCGGAAGTAGTGTAGTGGATTAAAGGGAATTCAACCTACCGTGAAAGTATTATACAGTAGCCCCCATAGTGCCCCGCCACTGGGATACGGGGCGCAACCCTAATACAGGAACTACCGTGACAGTGTTAGACAGTAGCCCCCATAGTGACCCGCCAGTGGGATACGGGAGCGCAACCTTCATACGGGATTGATCGACGCTCAAAGACTATCCTGTATAGGATTTATAAATAAAAAATTAGATCAAAATGCTAAGATTGGTGAACTCATTTGGTTATCTGCCCACGCTTTTCAGTTCCGCCCAACAAGTTTTTAAATTCACGTTTCGTTCAGGAGAAGCACTGAAGAGAACGGCCTGGGTACAGATGCCTAATAAGAAAATTATGCATCCCGACCCTCTGATATTTTATCAGCACTGGAAGTGAGCCACTAGCTGTTCTCGACGAGATTCGACCCTGAACTATGCGTCTAGCAACGGCAGTGCTTATCATAGCCCCACCCTCACAGCTGCTGGTCTAAATAATACGTGGACATAAGAAAGCGTTCTGAATATCACATTTTCACATTGCTGTACCATTTATGGGATTGAATCACTGAATTGATAGACACGGGTAGCGGCTGTCGAATGAAAATTTGGCCTCCGTTTGGAAATGGAGTCGACGGGTACGCATTATCAGCATTCGGTGTGCAGCGCGAAATGCGGAAGTAGACGATGCGGTCCGATCAGCTGATCAAACGCTTGACATCGTTAACAGCATTACAAATCACCGTTTGTCCTTCATGTCTGCAAGGCAACTAACCTGTTGTAATATCTGGTGGTTGGACAAAATGAGGTAGAAGAAAAACGAACTAAATTTCCTTTACAGTAAGAATAGGTAGACAGATTGAGGTGAGTAGACGAGATTACGTGGCCCTGCCCAGGTGGCAGGTAAGGGGAAGAGCGATAACTTATAGCTACCGAATTTCCGAACAAGCCAGTACTTTTCTTTTGCACTTTCCAGAGTCTCTTTATCAAATGTAGCCTCTACGCAGGTTCAACAGCACTGATTAATTCCAAAAATGATTGCTGCCCTTCATTCTCATCCTGTTAGCAAAAGGGATTCAGTGTGGACTTTAGTATGCTTTCTGAACCGTACCATCTAATTTTTGTCATATTCTCGTAGATGCTTCTATGCATGTATGGTGTTGGCTATCTTCAAGTGAGCTCAGTCTAACCTTGTTCCCGTATAAGTAGAAAGAAGGACTGATTGTATGATAGGATCCTGATTGTACTACATCATCGACTGACCGAACGAAAGGGCATCTTGCGTTACAATCCGTTCATAAGATGGAGAGCAACTGCTCCTTGGAACATGTGATAATAGACACCATCACAGATGTCGTTGTACTACCCAACATCAAGTACTTTAAGGTCATCACGCACGAGCTCGTCAGCAAGATTTGTGCAGGATAAGCGGTTCAGGGGAGGGAGTTCACACAACAAAACTGAGCCCGGTAAACCTTGCCTTGAATCTCTTGGGAAGAGGACTTCGACTGCTATCATTCGGTAGCAATGTAACGGTGTAATCTGAAGGAAAGGTCTTTTCAGCTGAAACGAATGTTCCGCCGCTTGATTGCTGCTCTATAGCCCTACAGAAATGTAACACCGTCCCTTCCAAGCAAGATTCGGCTTCTGAACATGAAACAGAGCCTTGTACGAGCATTGTGGTAGCAGTAGTGGCAGAAACTACAGAGGATGGGAAGAGTACAGTAATGCCAACAGTTACTTCTCTAACTACGAATCTCAAATGGTGTGCTTTCGGAGCTGTCAGCAACCATCATCACCGCCATTGTTCGTCTGAACTAGATACCCACAACTATCGTGAATGGTTCTCTGAAAGGGTGGGTTGTGGATGGGAACAAGAGAGAAAGCATGTCTTATTTCCATAGAACTGAAAAACTCACAAGATTCCCTCAGAATGTGAGCTTTTGCACCGAAGGAACTTCTCAGAAATTCGATTATTAGTGCCAGACTTTATAGCGAAGAGGACTACAATTTTGTTAAAAAGTAAGGGTCTAGGTTCTAGGGCAGGTGGCACATTTAAATGTAACGGTGGTATTTTTTCTCCCTATTCTTATTCCCTAGATGGAATCTTCTTTGGGTAAACCTTTCTGAAACCAGTTGGCAGAAGTTTCTCGGTAAATACAAATACTCATTTATGAATGCTGGTGAAATGGGGAACGTTCGTTCCGCGCGTCCGTCAAAACTAGGTCACCCCGCCCACTTCGCGCGCGGCCCGGCCACTGAGGTCTCGAGATGACATTACAGTACCACCAAGTGTCAGTGGAGCGAATGATTTGCACTAGTCCGTGCTATCATCTATTTGAACTGACTACCGTAGATCAAACGCAAACAGAATGCCCCACTGACAACTGCGACATCCGTCAAGTATCGCGGGCTACCGCACCGCATACGACGGCTGCGGTGTGACCTAGTTTCGACAGACGCGCGCAACGAGGCGCACCCTGGTGAAATGCTCGGCGTGTTCCAAGGTATCGATCAGTGATGGTCGCTACATCATTCCTATACATTATCATATTTCAGCTCAGCGAAACACATGTCGAAGTTGCCGATTCGACGAGTGTATGCGACGAGGAATGAAAAAGGAAGCGGTCCAAAGCGAAAGGGATCGGTGATTGTTGACCTCACGACACACCAACATCTGTTAGGAAACATCTGAAATTCCAGAATACGACCGAATGGATCAGGTCCAATTCCTGACGATCCTCTCTTGGATGCACTTCTTTCCGCCGAAGCCATTGTGCGCCAACTTCGCTCATCAGTGATCACCCGAACAGTTGATGCTCGGCGTCAGGCCACTACTGGGGATGTAACAGACAGGTAATTCATTACTTAAAAAAATTACCGCAAAAGAATTCCCGAAACCCTTGTTACCTTCGCAAAGGCTACCCTTGGTGAGTGTTACCCGCTTAAAATTGCAGCACAATCAATCAGACTTATTTTCTATTTATTTTCAGCATGAATCAGCAACTTACCCTAATGGTAGAATGGGCAAAGAATTTGCAGGAATTTCAACGGCTACCACTTGGCTCCCAAATAGCTCTACTGAGGTGAATAGGCAGTCAATTCGCTTCCTTTTAAGGGTTTCTATTATTGTTTCTTGAAAATACACTAACTCAACTCTTTAAGGCATTTCTCTGCACAACACTTGGTGATGTGCGCGGCTTTCCGAAGTATTCACCTCAACGACGCTGTCTGCTTGACAAATGAAACCTGTCTACCGAGGGATACACCGAAGGTACCCGACGTAAAGTGAGCTTTTCTGTGAAAACCTTATCTTTCTGTTTAAAGCACTACTCTCAATGAACTCAAGGGGTTTCAAGTTAAACTAGTTTTTGTATCGAACAGTGAGTATCGGCACTCTGTTGTTTGGTATGTTCCCAAGGGGAGTAATCATCGGAAAAACAGAAAACAATCCAAGGTTTCAGAATCAAGCTAGCTATAAGTCGGAGGTGGAGCGTATGAAAAACAGCGCAGACATGACGTGATAGTGAGAATATGTCTGTTGACCAAGAACTTCTAATTCGAAATTTTCTCATCTCGCTACTTACTGATATTAATAGCACTCTAGAGCGTGTATGAATCAATGTCAGTACTTCCTCACGTAACGAGGGAAGCTTGCCCTAGGCTGAGCAACCCGACTAGAACTTGAAAAAATGCTTTCTTCATTCATTTACGAAGTTTCAGTCGAGTAGCAGCACGAATAGTTGACCATCTGACGACGCCGATGAGACAGCTTCAGATGAACGAGATCGAGTACGTCGCCCTGAAGGCTATCGCATTTTTTGATCCACGTACGTTGAAAGAAAACGTTAAAAATATGATTCACAAGTTTCCGGAAATCAGAGGATGCTATTAGGCTTTGGAACATCCATTCTTGAGATGGGAATCATCTGGGGTATGAGATATCTGGGGTATGCAAGAAACAAGCATCAATTGCGTGCCGATCCGTGCCGAATCGATATCCGTTTGTGTAAATTTTTTGATATATTCTTATCTCCTTGAAAAAATACGCTGTTCTGCAACAGTATAAAGCGTAAAACGACACCTGAAGAATCATTGATGAAAATAAATTGAAATGAGAAGTAGAATCATAGGTTCATCCCGAATCTTCTCATTGCAGTTGCGAAGGGAGTGGAAGAATCTCATCATGACATCAACGATACCCGCCAGAAGGTACTGTATGGCCAGCGAATTTTTTCCTCCAATGAATCCTTCTATTCCAGCTACTGGATTCATTCGAACGCCATGTGCGGCAAGTGTCGCCGCTTCGCGATACTCCTCGACGCTTTTCAAACCTTCTACTTCTACTGCCTCCAATGTTGGCCATCGCCCGTGATCTGATTGAAGATGTCCAAATGGCAAAGCTGTTTGGCCTGGCTGCCATCGACAGGCTAATGCAAGAGCTCTTACTACCTCCTGACAGCAGCTCAGACAAATCGCCTTGATGATAGGAGAATTGTGCTACTATTTATCAGATCAGAAGGTTGATGTGTAAAGCAGTTCGCGATGTCGGGTCTACTTGAAGACGGTTTCCATAGAAAAAATACTGACTAGGGTTAGCTCTATATGTAAATTGCATAAATCTCTGACGAAGTCAGTCTGGTCTGTGTGACTCCTTCTCAGCTCAATCAGATTTTGGGATCCTACACGACCTCCTGAACTTGGGAGTCAACACGGTATTATGTCATCTACTTGCATTACGATTACGACCTGATTGTTTGCATTGATACCCTCAACATTTGCAAACTCGCCCTTGATAACACATGCCTGGACCGTGCATTGCGCGCTGCAACCAGCCGTCACCTTTTCTGATTTCTCGAACGAGCGGCAGCTGTGGACGTTGTCCCAGCCTGCTACTGGGGTACCTACACCTTGACTGATCCATTTCAATTATAGTTGCTAGCATTTAATTAATGAAGCCAGTTTCCATGTGAAAGCAGTAGTTATAAAACTATATGCTACACGATTCATGAATGAAAATACAGTAGCGCTCAAAAGTCTTCGGTGAAATGCTTTGACTCTTTTTCGATCATAACTTTTTTCTTAGTGGACCAAATCGCGCGAAATTCGGATATGTTTAACTAGAGCATATTTCACCCTACCCAACACTATTTAACTGCAAAGCTGCAAGATCCACAGGTAAAGCAAGGTGTTCGTTACCGTAGCAGATTTTGCTAAAAGTAAAATTGTTGACGTCTGCACTTATTCCCACCTTATGTGCGTTTTTCTCATCTGTTGTGTTCGACATTACCGCTCGTACACTTTAGANGCAGACATGACGTGATAGTGAGAATATGTCTGTTGACCCAGAACTTCTAATTCGAAATTTTCTCATCTCGCTACTTACTGATAGTAATAGCACTCTAGAGCGTGTATGAATCAATGTCAGTANTCATGCTCTTTGGAATATCTGGAACATGATCAGATTGCAAGTTAATAGTGATAAATATTCACAATACACCCACGCTCCAAATATAGAAATTTCGCAAGATTAGATCCAATAGGGAAGGAGTCACGACTGAAAAGTACGGCTGAAGAACCATTTCACCGAAGATTTTGAGCGCTACTGTAAATTGTAGAAGATTGTGGATAACTGTAAGGTCCATAGATATCCCTTGAAGAACTATCGATGATCAATACAAGAAGGCTAATCTATTACGGGAACATCGGTTTATTACGGTTCTTGCAACAACCACGTACTCTATAACCTCTGTCATTTATATACAGGACGGTGCAAAATTATGGAATTAAAATCTGTGTTGCGCAAAACTTTATTTTGGCTCAAAAAATAATTATCAGACATTAGTACTGCTTTTTTCGCAGGAAAGCTGAACAAAAACCACAGATTTCTATCAAATCGATCTCCAGTTGATCTGACGCAGGCTTGGAGACGCTCCGAAACGGTGTTGAATGTGGCGAGGAAATGGTCCAACTCACTCCATGACTTCTGCAGCGGTGCCTTTGAGAAATTGAGGTCACGACGTGATTATGAGCACGCTTTAGACTTGTGTACACTTCATACAGAAATGAATGGGTTTAGATCTAGCAAACTGAGAGACCATTTTTTAAAGGCGATGAAATCCTGCAAATTTGGCAATTTGGCTTGCACTTTTCTTGGGCAGTACAGTGAGTAGAAGCGCCATCTTGTTGATAGCATTATTTCGTGTTCCAGAAATGTCGAAATGCTTCCAAAGGAGACACTCCTTTTGCGCTACCACTTATTCCTGATGAGGTCAGTGCCTCCATTAGAAAGTGTCTAAAGAGATCGGGTTTGGAAAATTTAGTCGCTACTGTAAACGCACCACCCTTCAATCTAAAGAAGCGCTTGGTTCGGAACAAGCAATACGATCGCCTATGTACAACCTCAAACTGTGTGGTTTGTCCAGCTGGAAGGGAGGGTGATTGTAATATGTCTGAGGTGGTGAATCGATTGAAAGAGTCTACTGCCCTAGGGAGTCACCGAGTTCAGAAGCATAACGGCATTTT